ACATTTTTAAATCGTTAAGAAAATTCCCATTATTGGGTTTGGATATAAAATTTTACTATGCAAGTAAGATGTTGTTGATATGCCTAAATAGCTGATAAAACATTTGAAATGATCTAGATCGACTTATTGTCTTTCGCAATATTTTATGAATGCTTACAATATAGCCATAGATTACAAGCCTACATACATTAATAAAAAATTTATTAATTGTGCCATAATAAAAGTTCAAAATAATGTATACTGCCACACAAAACAATCTACTACAAATAATAATTAATTTCTAATACCAGCGGCTTCCAAAAAAAATGTCAACTCTTCCACTACTTCCAATAAAAAGTTACTATAATTGAATGCCAAAAGTAGATTTCAGAATATTAGGACTATATATCTATTGTATGCAGCTTATGGGATCATACTCATATTATTTCAGTATTTCGACAAATATATATGGCATAATTAAAAACTAAAAATACAAAAACAGCCCAATTTTTTCAGAAAACCAGGAAAAGTCCATATCATATGTAGTTTTTTTATATAGCAGTATTTTAAAAACTGAATTTCATATTGGATCACATAATTTTTTTAGCAGAGTAGGCAGACTTATAATCTATAATATGCATTTATGTCTGTAATATATAGTTTAAATCTGGAGTTATAATATATAAACATTTATATCTATATGTTATCTATATGAAGTTGTTTCAATAATTTATTTGGATATTTTTTAGCATTTTGTAACTTGTATACATATAAGAGGTATATTATTTTAAATATGTTGATTGAGCAAAATATTTTTTAAACAGGCGTTCATCCAGATAATAAATGTAGGAAGGAAACTAAATTATTTTTATAAAATTAATTTTATTCGTTATCCATATGATTGTAATCCCAATTTGATTCTTGTCCAGTGGACAAAACTTCAAAAAATATAATAAGTACTACTACCACACTACTTTTTTGCAAAGGTAGGTTAAATTGTTAGTTTTTGAAAAAAACAAATATAAACATTTTCTTTATTTCAAAATTTTAAATAAAATTTCTTTGTTTAATTTGACAAAAAAAAAAAAATATTTTTAAATATCTAAATTGATTCGGATGTTAATTTTAATTTTAGCTGAAATTCTAAGGCTCACTTATATTCTTGAAATAAATAATATTAACTTTGCAATTCATTTTATATAATTCTTAGAAATATGAGACAAGGTCCTTTAATACTAACTTCGCTTGCTTAAGTTTCATTTATTTATTATTTATGCATCAATATTATATATAAACGTAGTCGTCCAATTCATGAGCTCTCATACTTTGTTTATACAATATGAATAATGCAAAAAACAGTATTTATAATAATCTATTATAAAACATTGCCAGCAATTTGCCTCAATGCACGATGACATAAACCACTAGTTATTTATATTATCTGGATAGATACCTATTTAATAAGTATTTTGTTTAATCAATATGTTATATATATATATATATATATATATATATATATATATATATATATATATATTTATATGTTACATGTTTTTACCGCCGAAATCATTATTTAAAACACAAAAATAATGATAAAGTGCGAAAATCTGAATGGAAAGCATAATATAGATCTTGCAAAACTTCCAATAGTTATATTAATCTTGAATCAATTTTAGTCGATAATAGTGCTCTGCGAGCTGTGCAAAATTTAATTATTTTTATCTATGACAAGCTCATCTAAATATATTAAGATCAAATTTTCGAATGAATATGGAAGATTTTTCAAATATAGAAGATTTGTGCTGTTTTATACAAAGGAAGCTTTAAGTGAAGAAATTTATAAGCACTCATGATGATAATTCTACAAATACGCGATTTTTTTAAATGTATCACAAATTACAATAACAATATAAATGTAAATTTTATGATCTTCATATAAGTTGTATCTTAACTCTAATTGTTGTTTCTTGCATGTGGTTCTGGAGTCATATCAAACTAACATTTAGGATGACCTCACATGTAAGTCTATAGTTATTATTCTGGATCTAATTAGTATTGTGAGGTAATATATCATAGTGGTTATTTTTTTAGTCAATTTTTGCAGTATAGAAAAAAATATTTACCAATTATGGTATAATAATGAATGATATAGTTAAAATCCAAAAATTATTTGCCAAAAATTCATTTTCATAATTATTGACGATTTAAATATTAAATTTCTGCAAAACGTTTAAGATAATTTTAATAAATTGCACATAGCAGAAAGAAACATTTAAATATATAGATGATGATGTATTAAAAATACAATATTAATCTGAATAAGTTGAAAATGTAATCAATGTTAATTAATTAGTGAACTTAATATAAGCAATTTTATCATTTATTCATGTAGAGTTCTCTAAATATTGTACATGTGAGGTCATATACACACAGTATAGATTACATTACACTCAAAACACTCAAAATTGTGGTTACACAGCCAAAATCGTGCAAATAATTCTCAAAAAAACCTATATTGACCACTTTATTGAACCATACTTTTACAAAATTGCGTTTATCACAATTTTGATTCAATGTATAACATTTTTGGGAATCATTGTGTTCAAATATAGTATACAAATAAATAATATTGCATCATTTATTTTCACTGTATTATTTCAGTAATTAGTTTGATATTTCAATTCAATACTAAATTGAAAATTTTCTTTACTAAATACTTTCTTATGAATGTATTTCTACATATTTTAAAAATAGTTTTATTTCAGTTTACTTGATTAAAATATTTTATACTCATTACCATTTGAATAATGATGAAATTAAATAATTAATTCATAATAATAAATGAATGGCTTGAATTACTAATTAATATCTTTTCAGTGTATAACGTATTTCAAAAATGTATTTAAAAAATTGGTAATATTTAATATATTATTTTATAAGTGGGATTGTAAAATGTAAACTAAATTTGTTTCCAATGATGAAAGCGGCTATTAATCGACACAAAATTATGTATCACCTTTTTCTGAGAATTCATTGTATGTAGTTATTACTAGAAATAACCCAAATATGTTCCACAGTTATAAAAATTGATTTTGAAATATTTAACAAATTGTTAAAATCAACAATACATAATATATTTAACAAACAATTCATTAAGATATTAATATCTTACACTATTATTTTTTAATAAAGAATAAAATCAAAAGTCAAATAATTCAAATAGTTTTGTTATTGCTATTGATGCGAAACTCATCCTCATGCAAATTTTCAATTAAGAAGTTTGATTAAATTGTTTCACTATCTTTTAAATCGATAGTTTCCTTTTAAAAATAAATAGAAAAAAAAATCAGGTCTTATATTTAGATGTACAGTATTGTAATATCATCTGTTGGTCTAAAATCATAAGCATATTATATGAATTAAATATACCAAAACTGGTTATTATCACCAGCAAGTAAGTATAGTTCCTACATTTATTTTAATGTCGAATTTTTTTTTTTTGTATTTATCAATTCATTTGCATTTTTATATAAATAGTAGTCTTAAAATCCTAAATAATTCTCGCAAATATCTTCTTTGGCTTGGTACAAACAAAAGCTTGTTCCTTACACAAGCTTTATGTATATCTTCAACAAAAATATATACAAGCCTTTTGGCCACTGGTTTTAAAATTTTACTTTTTAAATGTAATTGAAATAATAAATAGCAATCTTTGAGCAAATTAATTAATTAGCAAGGGTATATAAAAGTCCTTTGTATGTAACGGACAAAAAGTTGTTCTCATAAAACAACTAAATTTTCTTTTAATAATATTCAATACTTCAGTTCAATTAAATTAATTAAACTTGTCAAAAGGAAGTATATTCACCAAGAAGTATATTGTACTATAAATATACGATTGAAAATATTGGCATAATGTAAAACAACCCTCCAGATTGTAATCATTATAATTTAAAAACCTATATATATATATATATATATATATATATATAATATCAAAGATTGCTATTTGTTATTTTTGTTGTTGTACTGCTAATGTAGATTAAATATTTAATAACATAATAACAACATATGTTGTAAATCTGTAACTAATATCAATGCATTTTATGGCAAATTATTAGTCTAAGCAAATGATGAAGTCAGTATTTTCATCTTATATGGACTTATATATTTACCATATATTAAGAATTATATAATTCACAAAAATTGCATGTGTTTAAATAATTTCCCAACAGCCTAAAATGCACTCACACTTAGTCGCATTTTGAACACAATCTGAATTGCATTTTTTTATTTTTCTTATATTTATTTTAATATTTACAATACACATTTATTTTAACTTAGCTAAATAAATATAATATAACAGTAATGCAAATAAAGTCAAGAGCAAGTTTGTAAATAGATTAACAATAATTGTAAATTTGTAAGTTCGTAATAGCAAATTGTAGAACAATTTCGAAGCTTTTCTGTTGAAAATATATTGGACAACATTCATTTTATTCATCCACAACACGATTTGCTTTTGTGTGGATTTAAAAATATATTAACAAATATCATTGAAATATTCCGCTAATTCAAATAAATAAATTCTTTTTATAATTCAGTCATATGACATTCATTAAATGTAAGTATTAGAAAAAATATTTGGGAAAAAATATAGCATTTATTAGCTTTACGTACAAATTTTGAAACAATTTGCGGTAAAATTTAATGTGAAATTTTTTTATGTAATAAACATTTTCTACATTCAGTAATATCTCCAAAGAAATGAAAAAAAATATTTTGAACAAAACAAATATTACCCATTAATTTTTAATTCTTAAAATTTGGAATATAACTTAAAACCTTTATTTTTTCACAATATTTTTTTTATAATTTTATTTTCTTTATTAAACTTGATGCATTTGATTTTCTCCGAGAATTTTAGTAACAAGATATAACTATAAATTCATAAATAGAATTTGTTTTTATTCCACACGCAAAATTTATACAAAAAGAACAAATTTACAACAAAGCTCCGACACAATTCTTAAAAAATAATTGAAATTTTATTTCATTACCTCGAAGACGTCAAATGTCACAATCAATAATAAATTACAATCTTGATCCAAAGACCAAATGCGAATGGTATCGCATCGTGTTCGTGATGTATTTTGACTACCTTTTGTCTTCCATGACAACCTGCTGGAAGGTTCTTGCTCCAGACGAAAGTCTGCTTTGGGCGTCTTGACTGCTTCCGACTGCTGCAGTACCGTCGCGGGCGATGAACAACTGAAGGCCGCTTGGTCCAGACACTAAAAATATATTTAACGAATTATTTCAAGTATAATAAATAATGGGTGTACTGCCCTAGGGCAGGTCCGTGAGCTGAGTTAAAACTCCAACTCGATTCAGGGAAGAATAGTGTGAGAAATTTACCATTGCCATTTCACACCGCAGTGCCCAAGATGGGCTTATTTTCAATTATATCATCACTCAATAAGTCCGTAGGATAACACATAGATGATGTACTATGTAATCATCCATATGATTTGTAGGAAGCAACAACTTTAAGAAGATACATGTCAAAATTTCGTGACAATTAATTTACAAGTTACAAAGGTTCAAGTGATGCATAAGTGATGCTACTTTTGAGTTTTTCCAAACCATAAATTCAAAAGCAATTTCGTGAGTTGATTCATCATTGTTTTTTGATGAGTAAAAATACCATTGCTGCCAAAGTATCGCTTGATGATAAGTGTTATTTGGTCTGTTCCAAAACGAGATAGATGGTGAAGAAGTTGTTTGCTGGCCACAAAGACACTGACGATGCTGAACGCTCTGAAAGGCCAATTAAGGTGGTTACATCAGAAAATATAAAAAAAGTCCATCAAAACGTTTTGGAAAATCGAAAAGTAAAATTGAGATAGCTGACACCCTAAAGATATTAATATATCGCGATAGACATATCGTTCACGATGATTTGAATAGAAAAAAGCTCTGTGCTAAATGGATGCCGCGCAAACTCAATTTGACCAAAAGCATAACGAGTTGATGATTCGTAAGAGTATTTGAAGCTGTTTAATAGAAATAAAACTGAGTTTTTGTATCAATATGTCACCATGATATGACCTGGCTTCAACACTACACTCCGTAGTCGAATAGACAGTTAGCCGAGTGAACTAGAGACGATGACGAGAAAAAATGCACCCAACTAGCTGGCAAAGTTATGGCATCAGTTTTTTGGGATACGCAAGAAATGGTCTTCATCAACTATCTTGAAAAAGGCCAGACCCTCAACAGAGACTATTGTATAACGTTATTGGAACATTTGAAGATCAAAATCGGAAAAACGGTCCCATTTGAAAAAGAAAACCGTGCTGCTTCATCACAAATCCGTAAAAACAAATGATAAGAAACATGAATTAGGCTCCGAATTGCTTCCACTCTCACTATATTTTCTAGATCTGTTCCGCAGCTACCATATCTTGTTCTCAGATCTCAAAAAGATGCTCGCTCTGAAGAAATATCTCCCAAATGATGAGATGATGACCAAATTATGTGGCTAAGTACAAACCGTATTACAAAAATGGTTTCAAAAACTTCGAAGTACGTTACAATTGGTATATCGTCTTCGATGAAAACTATATTGAATAAAAAAAAAGAATTTTGCAAAAAAAAGTTGGTTTTTCTTAGTTATCCTACGGACTTATTGAGTGAAGTGATAATTGATATTAAGGGTATTGCATTTCACAAGACAAAACTGGTGGCGCATTAAGGCAAATTTCTGAACTTTCCGTACCGCAATTACAGTAGAAGTTCCTTCTTCGCGCTTCCTTCATTTGCGTTTTCGCTATTCGCGGCAAAAAAAAAATTGCGCTAAGAATTTCATTATTCACGTATTTCAATATGTATCGATCCCAAAATCCTTTGTAAATGTAGTCATTTTGAACTAATAAATAAAACATAAGCCGCCTTCGTTGTCTTAGCCGTCTTCACGGCTAGCGGTGTTTTTGAGAATGTAAACCAATAGAATGAAAACAGCCTTATTTATTACTCAATGAATAAAATATATTTTTTAGTAAAATTTGACTCAAGTTGACATGAAATCCACATTCTCAGTGCATTGAAGCAATTCTCTTCATTTGCTTTCATAAGCAATAGAAACGCAACATTCAATTTGAAAAATCTTAGAGAAGAATTAAAAATGATTTGTACGATTTTTTTATGAAAATTATGGAAACACTTATTTTTAAGAGCCAAATTGCAGATGATGACTGCTAGTATCAGTTTGAATTAAGGAAGCAATTAAAAACTGTCGAGCAAGACAATATTACAAAATTCTTCAAACCATTGCCTTAGCATCAATATAATGAATCAAAATGTCCAAAAATTATAGCAAAAAATGACTTTTTCATATATTTTCCAGTACTATTATGTAATAAGCAATATCTTAAGTGTAACATATCCCATTTAAAAATGGTTAGTAATAGTCCAGAAATATAGTATATATTTTTATTAAGTAAAAACTAAGTAGTATGTATTTTTATTAAGTAAAAAAAAAAGTTTATTAAGGAACGTAGTATTTATTAAACGTAGTATATTACAAAAACTATTTTGCCCATATAGTAAAACAAAACGATATATAGGATAAGGATATACTAAGGATACACAATTTTTAAGAAAACTGTTCACAAATAAGAAGTTTAATCCTCTTTGGAAAATTAACACATGAACCCAAAGGAACAAGCTATACATCATAACCAACCTTCGATGGGCTTAGAATGGAGAAAGATAGTTTTACAACAAATGCAAGTCTCTTCCAATTACCGGTAGATGTTTTCGTCTGCTTTATCACCTTTGATAGGTTTTAAATGTTTTATTGACTCTGTAATGATTAATCTGTAATTCATGCCCTGAAAATCGTCCACGAGCACATATATATATTTCATTTTTCTATGGTCGAAAAACACAACAATTTTCACATTAAACATAATAGAAAGAAGAAATTAAGAGGAAATGTCATATCGATATCAAGATGAACAGTAATGACAATAAATTCAAAAGGAACATAAAGAAATATAATAAAGAAATCGAAGACGAAAAAGATTCAAGAAATATTTAAAAATATTTTAAATATAAGGCTTATTAATGTATAATGAAATAGACATAAATGATATGTATATATAAAATATGATAATTGTTTCATAATCTCTTATATCAGGCCTGACAGATATGAAAATAATATATCAATAAAAAAGGTACGCCAAAATGCTCAGGAGGCTTTCAAACGTAAAGATATACAAAACTTTTCATTTTCGATTTTTTTACTTATTACCTACGTAATGATTTACTTTGGTTTGGAACGTAGGTATACTTTACCCAAATGCTTCTAAATATGCAAAATGACAAAAGTACGTCAAATGTAATGCATGCCATTTTGTTTTCGTTTTTATATTTTGTGTAAAAAAATTAAAAGCTTATTTAACAATAGGTCTCTAAGTCTATTTCGATATTAAGTAATTATGTTATGTAATATGTATGATATATTTTTTAAATATAAAGTCCTTTTTGTGGTTAGCTAATTCAATCAAAAAAGTTTAAATTTGCTATCTTAAGGTAACCCGGGCTTTAAAAATCAGATAACATTTTTTGAATAATAGCAAAACAAACATATTTCTACAATGAATAATTTAGCTGGGAATTTTACTAATCATAGTTCCATAGTTGTAGGTTAGATATTAGTTATTTGTTGCCATGCGTAGTTGATTAGGTTTTCACAGTATAATTAGTAAATATCAAACAAAGCCTTTGTGCATTGCCTCGCCCTACCTAATAGATATAGAACCTCTTCGAGCATATAATTTCCACAAAGTGAAAGAATTAAAGCAATTTTTTTAATGTATTTTTGTTTCCAATATTCTTCTTGCACGTTATATGAGATTTATTGGAATGACATGATATTATTAAAATGTGTAAACCATAATGTTAACTTAATAACTACCTTCATCACAGTACATATTTATAAAATTAGAACTAGCAAACCCGACGAACTCCGTTTCGCCACCAGATGGTTTCGTGAGAAAGATGAGGAAATTTTTTGTTTGTTTTATATTTGAAAAGGAAAAATTTGATTTTATTACATAACAGTAATGAATTTATTTCGATTACAATAATAAAGTGTGCTTTTAATTGAACTTCTCTAAGTAAATGAAAGTGAATCCGCAAATTATCCGTTTCATTGAAGTGCTCTTTGGCAAAACCACATTTTTTGTTTTTTGGTCTGACGTTAACACAAACAAAGCGGAAGGTTTTCCAACTCGTGAACAGGCAACGTATGATGTCCATGTGAAAAACAATGATTTTCTAAATAATCTATTTAAAATTTATCCCGCAAACACTAAGCGATTGGCCTTGCGACTTGTTATTGCGAAAGCAAGGCAAACTGGAAATTGCAATCGTTTGAAGTCAAACGGAAGACCAGTCGGAATCATTGGTATGGCACTAAATCGCCAGCAATTTTTGATTGAATGGTGAAATTCAGTGCGTGTACATCATTATTCTTTGCGGCAAGAATTGCTCGTTGACTTAATCAAGCATAATTCTAACAATTCTAATGTCATTACTCGAATTTTTAGATAATCTATTTGAAATTATTAAAAACAATTATTGATTATTTCCATTACTCGAATTTTTAATTACGGTGCGTGAAGTTCCAGCAATTTGCATTGGAGCACGAAGCCATGAACCACTAATTCCCTTCTTAGCTATCAACCTTGCAGAGCCCGAGACCTTTCCAACGTATGCATTATTGTCGAAATCGGTTCGTGCGTTCTGGAGTTAAATCGTCAGGAAGGAAAACCCGACTTATTTTTATATATATGTACATTAAAGCATGATTTTATACTTCTTATAATTTATAATTAAAAACGAATATATAAATAACAATCACAGCGTAACATGATTAGATATTTTTCAATTATTACGAGATTCTACTATATGGCACACAGGTTTCACATTTATTTTATGATAATAAAATGAATTGTTATAAATGTACCTTCTTTACTATCAACTTGATCCAACCTAGTCGTCCTTAGTAATTCAGCTATAAGTAAATCAGGGTTCACCCTTGTTCCTTCGACTCTGCCTGATACGGTCGGTTCTCCGTCTAAAGCGGAACCCAAAGGACCACCAAGGACACTGGTACTAATAGCACCGGAACCTTTTTTACGCCTTTCCAAAGCAGCTTTGGCTCGATCCAAAGATCCTGTCTCTGATGGACCCAAAGATCCTGAACTTGCATTTCTATGAAAATAATTAAATACATTAAATTTGATTGATTGTTCAAGAATATGGATTGCTAATAATAATAAATAAAGTATGAAGGAGTAGCTTACAAATTGCCTAATGGATGGATGCGATGTAAACGCAACAGACTTATACTTTTCATGGTCTATAATTGCGAGCCCATATGCACAGTGACATACAAGACAATAAAACTTATAAAGCAATTTAAATACGGATAAATGATTGCGCATAACATATAATGGTATGTAAGAAATAGTATAAGACAGATACATATGCAATGAAACAAAAAATTAAATGATTGGATCGAAGTTTTTCTTGTGTTGTACAAGCTATTATAAATACATCTTCAAGATCAGTGACAACTAGAATAGGTTTAGGCAACTCTAGAATCAATATATCAATAAAATTGATTTATACTATATATCGAGTATATTATAATATAAAATAATGTAAATTAGCATTGCAAAATCATAATGTTCAAATTTCAGCTAACGTGAAATTTTTTAGCGACAACATTGCAATTTGTCGACTTCTGCGTATGTTTCACAATTAAGAAAAGAATGCAAAAAAATTATTTAGCGAAATTTATTTTATTTAGAAATTAACTCGAGATCAAGTATATTAAATGACGACATGTACAATTGTAAAAAAATTACTAAGCAGTACATTTAAAATAAAAGCTGTGCTTTAAAGCTTTAAAATATTAAAGTCCTTAATGTAAAATATTCTCAAGACCCAAAGACAGAATTTAAAACAGTAAAACTTGAAAACGTCGGATTTGAATTGTGCTATTCAAAAGCAGAGAAACTTTTTAATTTATACAAAGTTTCAAAATTTTGAGCATAAATAGTTTGGACCATGTTAAATAGCTAGAAGTAGTCAATCCTTGAAGATCGATGTCCTCCACAATGGTTATAATTTACCTTATGAATAAAAAATTTTAATTTCGGTTAATAAATAATCTTTAAATAAACTTAATCAATATAGCAAGGTATTAATCATTAATCGTGAAAATTCTTGCAGCAATAGTCAATGTTAGCGTTTAACTATTAGTAGCTATTAAATACATTTTTGTTCCTTAAAATTTCATAAATACATTCTTTATAAGAAATAACAGCACCTTGACAAAATAATAGTTTTCAATTTGAGTAACTTTTGATTTAAGCATTGCTTTACTTGAAATTCTAAGAAAATTAAAAAAAATTTAAGTGTATATCATAAGCCCTTATTTCCTTAAGTTACTAGTAAACTTAGTTCTACGTTTAACCCTTTTGCTACGGAATATTTTCACATGATCCAAGCATTATAAAAATGTATTTAAAAATTTAAAATTACTCTTCTAAAATACTAATAAACACAATAACACATTAGCATTTTCAATCATTTAACTCAGGGCGATAAACATTGAAACAAAATTCGTCGTATTGTATGTCATCTACGGCGACACTCGTACTTATAGGTCGTCAAGCAGATGTCGTCTATAGACGACGCTCGTAGAGAAAAGGTTAAATAATAATTTAATGATATCAGAAACTGCTTCCACAAAGACATATCTTTTTATCTATCTAACCGACTTAGTAAAATGTTTTTGTATCACTATTCGTAGACAGTATCACCCTCAAAATTAGTTCATTCTTCAGTCAATTTATTATTTGATTGCCTTCGAATAAATGCAAAGAAACATAAGGGACAAAACTATGCGTAAATAATGAATTAATTTAAACTTTTCATTCGATTGAAGTGATAACAAATTTAAAAACATGATTTTGATACAATGCAATTCTGATATAAAAAGCTCTCACTATTAGTAGTTTAGTAGTTTATAAAAAATAAAATCTAAAATATATTTTAGACCATAAACTATGTAGCAACCCAAAATTTAAATCTTGATAACAATACAAGATACAAAATTTATATAAGTTATCTATCTATAAAAATACTCATATAAATGATAATTGTTAAAGTGCAATATAATCATCAAAAGTATTCAGCCACAGATATGTCTACAATTAATAAGATACCTGATTGTATTATATAGATATACATACATATATAGAAGCAAGTCATAACATAATTACAAGTTGCATCAACTATAAAAGCAAGAAGCATTAATTCTACGTTCATTAATTCTAAGTTCTCATCTTATCTTGCTTATTTTCCTTCAGATAACGAAAATATATTAATTATATTCTAATAATTTGCAGCTGATTGCAATATTTGCATTATGTATGAGCGTGTTTCTAAACAAAGACGGCTCAACCTACGTATTTAAACAATAGATAAACCATTTTATAGGTCTTTTAGAAAAAATAAGACATACCGATTTTCAATTTCCTAGCTCTTCATTTGAACGAGATTTCATAGATAATATGCAAAAGTGGCCCCTTTTGGCGGTAAACATAACAGGCATCATATTAATGATTATATTAATATTGGTCTTAATACCATTATATTCATTGGCTTCCTCGAATGAGTTTTGGCAAACCTCATTCAAGGGAATACAAATGGACCAATAGCCAATGGGCGGATGACAATATGTATTTTTCGACACCTGAGTTTTTGTGCATTGAGTCCTCTTAAACCATCCTACATGAGATGGGGACTGACTAAGTCCGAAGTGGCGGATGCAGCTACTGCGCAGCCGATAAAGGAACCCTTTTTTAGCTAATTTCAAACCATTTTATGACGACTGCCGATTCGAAAATTTGAAAATATATTATTATTGCTATCGGGAAATGCCAATAACAGATGATTATCACGCGTTTAGCATAGTGGCAGACGAAATTCATGTAACTTGCCCCAAGGGATAAAATTTTTTTATTGTTTATTTGTTGACCTTATATACAGCGTGTCATCTCAGTGATAAATTTTTCAGTTGCCTCAAATTTTATCATTACAATTTTTGTAATAGGGCAAATATTTTATTGAAACAGCAATGTCGGATGAAGGCTATATTCTCTTGGAAACATATCGTTATCTATATTTCCAAATATAACTTACTCACGAGTGAGCCCTATGTTCAACATGAAATTTACTGCAAATAATTACATAATATTGTTCAGGTTTCGATAGCCAAATTCATTATTTACAATTAATAAGCTTTCATGAACGCCAATACATGACCTGCAACAATAACCATTGTTAATACCCCTCGATGCATCATATGATGATAAACATTTATTTAACGGCATCATAAAATAATTGTATCATACTTTCACATAAATGCAATTGCCTCGTGAGATAACATTGTATGTTATACGCATATAGGTTTCTGTCACATCTTGACAACAAGACTAAGATATATTATGGTAATAGAGGTTAGGTATATGAGGTGCAATATAACATCAATGGGCAATTTGATACGGCTCTGATGCTGCCGTACCACTTGCATTCCGCATGAAATGTCATTGCACCTCATTTCGCTAGAGCAGGTGTTGTTCATACAGTAATGGAATGCGTTATATTACACAAACACACTTACGACTACATATATATAAATATATATATATATATATATATATATATATATATATATATATATGATGACCCGACAGACCCACGTCTACAATTTAAGTTCCAATTTTTTTAATATCCTATCCTATACTCTTTAATATTCTAATTAATGTCCTTTCATTTATGGTCTTAGCATAACATATATAGGTGTTGGAAATTGCAGTTTTTTATACAGTATAAGAAATTCAGAAAGAATAAATATAGTATCTACGGTAAAAGAACAATATCATCTTTATTATTTCCAACCAATATAATTGCTTCAATAATGTATATAATATATAATAGTCTATAATTGTTATAATCGCGTACCCTATTTTAGTTGCTTTTTGGGAACTACAAGAAATTACATTTTTCTTACAAATAAATTAATAAACATTATTACTTTAGTTAAAATCTTAGATGAATTAATTTGTAAAATGTAGTTCATATGGCCAATATAATATACATATGCAGAGTATTACTTGTTAACTTCCCGTAGGCCAAGTTATAGTAATCGCAAACAAATCGAAAATGAAAATTTTTATATATCTTTACGTTTTAAAAGTTTCTGAATATTTTGGCATACCTTAGAAAAAGTGTGTGTGTGTGCGCGCGTGTTTGTGTGTGTGTGCGGATACAAATTTTCGTCGACGATTTCGGAAACACGAATGAAGCGATTTGAATAATTCAAAAATTCGATTCGTACTGGGACGTGCTGATTAGTTTTTGGCAAAGGCAGGTCTAGCCGTTCCGAAGATATGGGGCAAAAAGTGCCAAAAACAATAACTCAGTTTTAAAGAGAACGGAGCGTCCATTTTGAATAATTCAAAAAGCATTTTACTTGTATTAACAAGATGAAAAACTGATCAAATTTTTATGGAGGCAGGTCAAGCGGTTTCGGAGATCTAGTAAAAAAAAGTAAAAAAAAATCAATTTGGCGGTCAAAAATGATCATTAGACATATGCACATCAAATTATCAGATATTTTATAGAGATTTTAATAATAAGTATACATTTTGTTTACATTCTTCCTATGGGTTAGGTATCAATGTTTATCCGTTAGACGGCGACGCAGCGCTTACGCGCTTCGATATTTCTTCTCTATGCAGTTCAGTTCAGAATTACCAAAATATTTCAAAATAAATTTTTCTTCAAAAAATCTTTTCCAAAAAATAGTAATTTTTTGTCAAAAATTTTTAGTTTGCCAAAAATCTAATTTTTTTTTCAAACATGTTAATCTTTTTTTAAAAAAAAAAATTGGTACGGAAAGTTCCAGCACTTTGCCTTAAGTCACGATGCCCCACTAGTCTTGACAACGTTTTAGAATATCGTTATACTGAAAAAACTCTACGTCAATTTAGTTCTTTAGAATCTAAAGTTTAGATCAAATTCTGGAACTCCAAAGAATTATTCAATTTGTTTCAAGAAAATAAATTACAAACGATTTTGTAAAAATAATAAACAGGAAATAAATTTTTTTGCGAGATTGATTTTGTGCAAACGAC